TTAAATGCATTTCGCCATTAGCTGAAAAGCTGTCTCGTTAAACAAAAGAAAGGGATTACTTTAAAAGGTTTTGTTTACCAATACCAATGGCTATAAAGTATATGCCATGACTATAATATTATTATTTTCTAGGGTAGTTTTTACTTTCCCTCAAGAATTATGAGAGTAGATATATTTAAGCATTCGGATGAAATTGTTATGAAAATTTATAACAACATTATACATTTTAATACCATGACCATAAATGTTTTAATTAAATTATAAGAATAAATGCAGCACAATAAATCAAATGTGGAGCGGAGCCGAAAAATATTCACATGCAGTCTCGCCTGAACCGTAATCAGAAAACAATAAACAAATAAAATAACAATTAATTGGATTTTTACTACCCTTTCGTTATTGTCACCTCTCCCTTTGGGGGGTTTGGCATTTAAATTTTCATAATAAAATGTAATTTATTGCATTTGCATAAACCCTGTAAACGTGTGCGTGCGTTTGCCTGCAATTGAATCAACACCAAGCAGCAAAGTAGCCAAAGAACAAAAAGTTGAGAAAATAAAGAACGACGAGGACCAGCCGACAGCAGCAACAAAGCCGGTATCCTGGCAATAAAATGGCCACCAAACTGTTGGCAATAGCCAGCGGCTGCCACAATAAAAATCCCTTTTTGATTTATTCGCTGACTGTCATATGGCCGAAGATCGAGTGGCATGAATGCGAATTAATCGCTTAATTGCTTTGCCAGCGGGACTAAAGGAATTTTAAACACGGCAGTTGATCACGTAAATTAAGTGCTTGCTCCCAGATCAAGATATTCATAAAGAAGGTACATTTTTAAAAGTGAAAACCACGGCAGGTGGAGTAACTTAATCCTCTGCCGTGCATGAGGTGTCATAACGTATTTCACAACATAATATTTTTAATTAGGCAGTTGACCCACTACCACTGTCAGTGCTGGCAATTCAGAATATTTAAAAATAACTCCTTTTTTCAGATTTTTTTCTTCAGATTTTGGTAACAATAAAAAGCAACTAAGTATATCAAAATTTAATTTCTAATATATATTTTGTTCTACATATTATTTTAATACCTTTTTATTTAATAATATATTAACCCCACATAAAAGCATTGTTTGTGAATTTTTTAATGACATGTTTTTGTAATTTATTTTTTTTTATATATATTTTTAAATAACTTATTTATAAAGTGTCTGCAACACTGTTTCCAACCAGTTCTCTTCGCTAATGGCTAAACAAGCGCCATCTGGTACCCATCCCAGGACCTCTAAACCAGTGACATGGTTGTGCGTGGTTGCGTGGCGCACACTCTTTGGCGGTTGAGGTGCCACCTGCTCCTGTCGCCTTCCTTTGACCCCACAGGACCAAAACCTGTACCACCCGCCCCCTTCAGTTGATGCATATAAAAACACTTGTGGCTGATGGGCGGCTGCTGGATAGCGGATAGTGCATCATGTCATCGCACGGCCAACGCAAATGCAATTTAATGCAAACAATTTTTTGAAATGACCTACATCCTGGGCAGGACACACCACACGCACACAGATAGCAACAAAATGGGACCTGTTTTCACAGCACCGCACACAACATCATTAAAAATTAATTCACGCTCGATGTCCTGTGCCTGCTAAAAAATAAAGGGAGAGCAAGAGGAGCAAAGTGAAGTGGAGTCCGACAGTAAGTACACGGAAATAAATATAATGGTTTATCAAAATTTGAGTTCATATAATATTTTGTTTATATAAAAAATGTCTTATGTTATGTACATTTTTATAACATCTTTTTATTTAAATAATAATAAAAATAATACTTTTCATTTACTAGACAGTCTGGTAACTTTGCAGTGGATGAAAGAGGAAATGAGCTAAACAACAGCAGCAAACGAGTGCACACGTTTTGCGGTCGCCGTGCACTTTATAATGTTGTCCTGGTCGAGGATCCTATCGCAGACCAGGAGCAGAAGCAGGACCAGGACGCGGTACTGGCCCATTTCGTTTCGTCCGCCGCCTGATGACTTAATGAGCATAATAAGCTCAACGCCGAAATTACCTTTTTAAATGAATGCCGGCAGTCTGCCTCCCATCCAAAGCAGTCTAGTTTTAGGTGTGTGGAAAACAATCTAACACCCACACGAACACTAATACACACTCACACACACAAATGGATAGCCCCACAGGACGAACAGGGACACACAGGTGGGCAGTGGGCTAAAGGGGGATTAAAAGTGGAATAGACAAGCGGTTACATATTCAAATTAAGATTTTAATGTTCACACAAAAGGCGGCCATACCAAAATAACCATTTTAAATGTATACATCTGTGGGAGGGTCCTGGCAAATGAGTGAGTGTGTGTGAGTATCTGTATAGAGGGAGTGAGTTCGCTTTAAAGGATGCCAAAGAAATGCAAATGCAAATTAATTAGTTCGCCGTTTGATTGAGTTACAGTTAAGTAGCTTACCGAAATCGTTTGTCCCTGATAAGGTTTTTGGAATGGATAATGGCTCTGTTAATGGCATAGACACACAATAATAGCAATGGTTAGATAATTCCCAGCTCAATCCCTATTATGGGACATACATACATAACATGGGCAGAGAAAATTGATTTCAAGCTGTCGTACCATCGAAATGGAAAAGCCACAGGCTTAAATTTGAATTTATTCGGGATAAGGATAACCTTTGACTCTGTTTAATTGGGTATAAAACCCAGTTCGTTGTTGGATAATTAAATCAGGTATCTAAATAGCCTATAAGGTCCTTAAAGTTTCGTTAAAGATTTCATAAAGTAGTGTTAACTTAAGCTAAATCTACTGTTAGAAATTGAAACTAAAAATATCATTTTCAGTATACTGACAAAGTAAAATAGTAGTTTAATCTCAATGCTTGTGGCTTATTGCAAAATAAGAATCCCTCACGCGTTGACCCAATAATCTTTTGCGAATTTATAGCCGGGCACATTGCGTATCACGCTACGTCAACCACTCACACTTTCGCAGCACCATAATCAAATTAAAGCATAATTTTTTACGACGTCATAGTCATAAATATGAACGATGAGAAATTGTGCCCAAACATGAATCGTAAAATGGCGAGGGTGAGTGGAGGGAAGGATGCAGGTCCTTGCAAGTGATTTCGCATTTCCGCTAAGCGGCTGGGTGAGAAAAATAAAATTAAATGTATAAATCATTACGACGACGATGCTTTAAAATTGAATACGCATTCGTCAGCAATAAATCGCAGGGGCCAAAGGACACGGCTCCTGTAGTTCAGTGGCCCATCTTGAAGCCAGGATCTCTTGTGCTTTCCGGTACGGTCACATATGCGCTTTGGCGCCTTTGGGGAAATTGCTACAATTCGTTTCATATTTCATGTGGCTTCGGTTTTTGGGGGTTTGACTTCCGTTTGGCTTCTGTTTGTGGACGCGCACTGTTCTCCATGAGTTATTATTGGCCAACGCGGATCCCCCGAAGAGCCAGCGGAATTGGTATTGCCTGCAGCTGATTTGCATATTGAATGCAATAGAAAACGCAGCCTTATTTATGGCTCCTTTTTGAGGCTGAGGGCAATTAGGCCATACAAATGAAGCATACTTCTGCAGGAGAGTCAGATGAAGTCAATTTAGATAACTTGCGAAATTCGGTAAGGCACTCATAGTCAGCTTTGAAAAAGGTATTCCCCCTCTTCAAGTGATTTACGATCTCCACTCCAATAAAATTAATAAAGATTATTTTATAGATGGACAAAGTCTAGAATTACTCAGCTTTCGGATTTGCTAGTCTAAACAACAGATATATAATGCAAAATGTTCTTTAACCAAAATCTTGTTACATATATTAAAACGGTCTTAGAACTATGAATAACTTATGTCAACATACTACCTCATTCATAATAGACTTCCTTTATTTATCTCTCAAAGTAATTAAAACCTGTATATATTGTTTGACTAGTACTTTAGATAGTGATAGCAAAAACAACTTGATTTATTACCTCATGCCTGAATGGTTTTAAAAAGTGTCGAACTGCTTATATATTTATTATATAATGCAATCTATTTTTTGGGTAAACAGCCATTCAAAATTCGCAAATCGCCCTTCTTAATACAATCTCAATGGCTTTTAATCGCCAATTGAAATTAAAGCCAGCGGCGTTTATGGGCAATACTTGATAATGAGTATTAGCTCATTATTAATTTTGATACCATCAGTTAAGAACTAATTAAAAAAGCTTATCTTGAAGTCTTTCTCTATTTTTAGTTGTGGGTTGAAAAGGTTGGTTTCTTTAAAACCATCAATGAATTACACCATATACTCTTTTTTATTATACCTATAATATTTTCTTAAAATTTCCTTTACCACAATAAGCTTTCAAAGCAATTCCAAGAATGGCCTTTTCGGGAAACCCAACTAGAAAAATTATAGTAATTTTATTTTGGGAACCATCTGGCCTAAAACTGCATCGATCACCCATCTTGTGCAATCTTATTTTGCCATGTAAAATGCTTTTGGAAAATTTGTCGCTGCTCCTTGGTGTATGGTAATTTTCCCCAAACATGCTCGCACACCACTCCTGAGGTCCGTTCTTAATTTCGGATGAAACAATGCGCAAAGGAAGACATCGCAGGATACTCGGGGTGGAAGGATGCACGAAGGGCAGGGGCAGAGAGCAAAGCGTGTCGACGAAACGAACGAGAATCGAATTTATGGTCTAACAAGCGCTGTCAAAATGCGAGAATTGAGTGCCTGCGCCGAGGTCCTGGCACTCCTAGGTGCTGGTCTCCATTCCCATGGTGCCCAGATGCTCCCCCAGACATTTGCATCTCGCATATAAATCGCATTAGCAGCACGCAATTACTAGACCTCGACACATGAGCACACGAAATGCGGTTTGGGCCAGAATTTCCGGAGCGTTGAAACCCGAAACACTGATAGGTTTTGCCCCCTCCTTCATTTTGCACCCGACCGATAAGAAGTTATCAGAGGAGATGTCATAAAGGGGTATTGCTTTAATTTACGATGGTTTAATATTAGTACAGACCGCAATGACAATGATAGCTTAGATCAATAAAACCGATCTAATCGCTTCAGTCGGTGGCTGAAAAGTATAAATATATATGTATATATATCACATTTGACTAGGTACACAGTCTTCCCGATTCTGAATCACACCTGAATGGGGCACTTGTACATTATGTTGATCTTATCTATATCCTTGGAACTAAGGCCAACTCGTTGTCCAATTTCTGCAGTTGGATCCAAGGGTACTATGGTATCTTCTCCATTTATAGAGAAGGCTCCAGGCCGATAATGCAGACAGCTGTCGTAGTCATAGCCCATTTCAAAATCAGTCACAACTGTGTCGGCATACTTCTCAAAATTGAACTCCTTACCAGGCACTATGTTATCATAGACCACGTTTATGTAACCATCTCGAATGGCCGAGCTTTGTTGGTGATAGAATCCCAGGGCGTGCATGAACTCATGCAGGATTGTTCCTGGCCGGAAACAGCCTTCGCCTAAGGGGTAAATTTCCAGGTTCATTTCCTGAGGAGCTCCTTGATATCCCACTGATGTATAGCAACCTCCAGTTTTGGCTGTAACTGTCAAGTAGGCCGCATCATCATCAGTGGCTTCCCTAAACCGTAAACAAGTATTCTGTTCCAAGGTTTCGATTCCAGTATGGATGGCATTCTTGTGCACCGTGTCAAAGTCATCTGATATCTTGTAGATCACCACATTGCCGGGCCATCGCTTTTCCGTGTTGATAAGGCCATTGCGGGCCTTGGGACCACCTTGTTCCAAATTCCTTTGCTGCTCCTCCGTCAGGATCATATCTCCCTCCACATAACCTGCACCCTCCTCGGGATCATAGACACCCCCTGGAATGGGTTTGCCAGAGTTAAGCACCACATTTAGCAGGAGCAGGTATATTATTCCAAGCCTCGACATCTTTCCAGTTGGGTTCCTCGAACTAGACTAACAAAATAGCCCGTAAAATCTACCAACTAAATATAAAATACGCTTGATGGCTGGCCATACAAACACGATTAGATATAAACGGGCAAAAACTTATTTCGCAAATTGATAATGACAATCGGAACGTCCAATTAGATCAAGGTTTATAGTCATGTCACCTGTGAAAGAGGCGCCCAGGTGAAAAACTTCCATTAGTCATGTAAGGTAACGATAAATATCTATAACATACGTCATGTGGATTGCCGCAATTAACTGTGACTGATAGCCTTTCATATGTAGAATCCCAAAATTGAAGTGGAGTAGTGATTGGATTCTCAAGTGCCCAGCAAAATAGCAAAAACAAATATATAATTAAAACCTCTGCTCCTTAAATATGTATGAGTAATTCCTCCAAAATTGTCAGTTGATAACGGATATCTGTCCAACAACCACGACACTGGTAATCGTTGTGCTAAATACAGGCCATCGTTCGGTGTTCTATAAGGTGTTCAAATTCTGGGCGTTATCGTCTGAAGGAGTTATCTCCGATTTCCTCAACCGGGGACTACGTGATAAGTCCAAAGTAATATTAATAGCACTCAATGAGCTCTTAATTGAGTAGTAAACAAAATAATTTAAGAGAGAGTCGAATAAAGAGAATTCTTTGCTAACTGGCTCTTAGATTTGTAGTTTCTACACTGAGGTGAAAAATATCCAATGTATCTATGACTAAAATAATTTTATAATTCCAACCGTTTATTGAATAAAATTTGTGCCGTTTAATAAATTATATTTTTTCTCAGACATATCCAGGGCAGTTGTACATTTTGTTAAGCTTGCGAATATCCTTTTCGCTCATGTAAAGTCGCTGCCCCATATTCTCGGCCCCATCCCTTAAGGGTATAATCGTGGGTTGGCCGTTCTTGGAAAACGCTTTGGGAACATAATGCATAACGCTTTCATAGTCGTAGCCCTCGCCAAAGTCGTGCCACAGAGTAGAATTGTCTGTGTTTACAAAGTTTATGTTGAACTTCGGTTGAATATTATCCCATTGGATGCTGATGTATTCGTCCCGATTATTTGCCACATGCTGATGCTCAAAGCCAAGGATATGGAGAAGCTCGTGGATTATGGAACCGATACGAAAGCAACCCATGCCAATGGGGAAAATCTGAAGGTTCACGATTTGCTGTATTTGTCTGTAGCCCAAATAAGCGGAATTACAGCCGAAGCCGTTTGACCTTATGACGACGGCATTGGAATGTTCTTCTTCTGTGACTGGCGCGAAAACAACGCAAGAGTTTTCTTCTATGATGGATATGGCTCTAAGAATTTCCCGATGATGACTGTCGTCTTCGATATTCTGGTCAGGTGAGTGTGCTTCTAATTTGTATTACATACATACCAAAGGCATTTTTTTCAATTATATATGGAACGGTTCCATTTGGCCAGTGAAGAATCTTATTGACAATCCCATTCCGCGTTCGAACCGGCTGATATAGGATGTCCCCTTGATAATAATCTTGACGAAGTTCCGGATCCTCCAAGGGCTTATTGAAAACTTGTCGAGCGAACAGGAGAAGAAGAGTACATGTCAGTGAATACATTCTGAAGCCAATAACAGAACTAAACTGAACGGCTATTAATCCATGCCTTTTGTATTCTATTACTAAAGCAATATACTCTGTTTTTTAAATTTAAAACGACATGCCTATAATTCTCGGAGCAATAACACTAGCCAACATAAAATTAAAATGAAAATTTATAGAGAGCTTTTACCATCCATGCATAGCAAATGGTTTAAAAAGGTCTTAGTTGCCAGCTAAACCGTTTTGGAAAGTTAGTTTCCCATTTTACTTAATACCTAAAAGTTCAACGTAAAGTGAAACGTAACAATAATGGTTGCATACTTTTAGTTGTTGAGAATAAAACATATTTAGGACTTTCCAAATGGTTCTTCAATTTAATGGTTGCTTAGGCTTAGGTTTTTCATGACTTGACCCTCACTCATTTCTTTTAGGTTTAATCAGAGAGCACTTGCCTCAGTGTAAAATCTAAACGAAAGATTTAAAACAATTGGTATAAATCATCTGTGATTGATTTAATAACTCTTTGTACTTATTACACCTGTCTGGGACACTTGTACATGACATTTAGTTTGTTAATATCAGACTGGGTCATTTGCAAACGCTGACCCATCAGCTCCTCGGCACCTTCTTGCAGCGGCACAATAGTCATCTCGCCGTTCTTAGAGAACGCATACGCCGTGTAGTGCAGCACGCTGGAGTAGTCATAGGGTTCGCCATAATCCTCGACGGTTTCATTATCGTATTTGTTGAAATTGCCCTCGGTTCCCTCCGTTATATTCTCCTCAGCAATTCGGACGTAGTCATCGCGATTCCATGTGCTTTGCTGGTGATAGAAGCCCAGGGCGTGCAGGAACTCATGGACAATTGTCCCCAACCGGAAGCATCCCGTATCCAGGGCATAGTTCTGCAGATTCAGTTGTTGTACCCTGTTGCGATAGCCCACATATGAGAAGCATCCACCTGCCTCCGATGTCACATTCACGTAATATTCCTGATCAGTGGTTGCCTCCTTGAAAACTAAGCAAGAACTTTGCTCAATGATGCGGATACCCCGGAGAATGTGGTTGCGATGCTCGGTATCTAGATTGATGAATAATAATAATATTTTATTAAATAGAGATTTGTAATAATAAGACACCTTTTAAAAGCAATGACCTTACCAATATTCGGATTGATGTAGTAGAAAACAACTCGATTGGGCCATCTATAGGTTTCATTTCGTAGCCCATTCCTTCCCTCAAGACTAGGAACCATATCACCCTCAATATAACCAGCGGTCAGCTCTGGATCGGTTTCAATCCTCTGCTGAGTAGCAGGAGCAGCCCAGCAGCAGCTGGCCAGGAATAAAACCACTAAAGTCAAGGCACAGGTCTTCATGTTGATGGGTCCGCGGTCGTCAAATTACTGTTTAGAGCGGCAATTTAAAGGTGACAAAGCGGTATAGTTTGCCAATGGATAATTTATGGTATTTGCCACAGTTAAGCTTTTATGGCCAGCTAAATTGACCAATGGTCACCGCTAAGATGTTATCTAATCGTTGGATGTTGCTTGCGAAATGTGCGCTCGTATACGTAATCTTAATTCAGGGTAGTTTCTGCCTTTTAGAAATTCCCACTTCCAGCGAGATAAGATCTTCATCCATTTTTAGATGGTGCATTGCAGAAATATTTACCAATATAGAATTTTCAACATACTTCCGGATTCATGCCATATTTATCTTCATTAAATTTTTTCAGCCATCGCTTACCTTTCCTTTTTATCTTAACATAACAAAGGTCTACCGACCATGACCTCTACCATTGCGACGCTGGCTACCGCCTCAATCTCAATCAGAGTTACAATGCCCTCCCACTCCCAAAAATAAAGAAAATCCAAGTCAAAATTAATCTAAAAGCGAGTGACAGCGATGAACATTCGCCTAATTGCATTTGTCAACACAATAAACAGATTATATTTTTGGCGAAAATGTGATGATAAATGAAATTTATCATCATTACGTTGCAAAAGACGCTGGTAAACGCAGTATAAAGGTTGTTAAACAGTTGGGCATTTGTACATGGCGTTTAACTTCTTGATATCAGTTTCACTCAGCTCCAGTCGTTGGCCAATGACATCTTCCTTGCCCTCCTCCAAAGCCACTATTGTTCTCTCACCGTTCTTGGAAAAGGCATACGGACCATAATGCATAACGCTGCCATAGTCATATGTCTCGCCGAAGTCATTGACTGTTTCCTCGGTATATTTATCGAAATTGAACTCCATGCCTTCGGTAATGTTCTCCTCCACAATTTGCACATATTCATCCCGATTAGCTGCACTCTGCTGGTGGAAAAATCCCAGAGCATGTAGGAACTCATGAACAATCGTATAGAGACGAAAGCATCCAACTCCTATCTCATTATTCTGAAGATTCAGTTGCTGAACTCGGTTTAGGTAACCTATGTAGGAGAAGCAACCGCCCTCTTCGGACGTTACATTCACATAATATTTCTGATCCGTGGTGGCCTCTTTGAAGGTCAAGCACGAAATGGATTCGATTTTGCGAATACCGTTAATAATATGGTTTCGATGCTCTTCATCTATTGGAATCCAAAATCAAAAATAAGTTTATATTCTATAACAATTACTTCTCAACTCTCACCTATATAGCTGTTAATGTGATAGTAGACAATGCGATTGGGCCAACGGTAGGTCTCGTTGCGCCAAATATTCCTGGTCGATCCACTGGGAACCATATCCCCCTCGATATATCCAGCTGTCAGCTCTGGATCCGTTTCAATCCGTTCAGATGGAGCCGCCAAGGCGCCGCTAATCACAACCAAAATCAAAGATAAGACCGTGTAATAATACATGTTGGCTGTTTAACACCCCATTCAATACTGTCTAGCCAATTTAATACACGAGCAATAGCCTGGTCTATTATAATGGTTAATCTTTAAAATTTACGATTTCTAAATTAGAGGTGCCGATGCTAGGTGATATCTAATCGTTGGGTTAGACAGAATGGTCGGTAGCTAGCTAAGGGCCCTTATCTACGACTAATTTGCAAGGAAATTTCAGAATGTTAAGATGTTTGTAGGCCCTTAGTGTAAATAATGCTTTACAATCCAGCTGCAAGTGAAGTTTTTACCAAGTAGAAATAAATATATCAATAAATTTGGCAATGTAGAAAATTTTTCCTGATGTAATCTAGAGAAATTCTCTTCGTTTATATGTGCTGAAAATGTATAAAAACCTTTCACTCTTGATCATTTTATATCAGTTTCAAAATGCAATTCCTCGCACTCGCTGTGCTTTTCATTATACGTTTTTCGGCAAATGCTCGTCCTTCTACTCCAGTCCAGGAGGACGACATAATACTAATCCCAGAGCAGATGGAATTTTTTGAAGGAATCGCAGCAACACGAGTGGTAAAGTCGTGGTCAGAGTATTATTGGAAGAAGAGTACCTTAGTTTACAGCTTTCGCGAGGAATTATGTAAGCAGAAAAGATTTAACTATAATAGTATTAAGGTTAGAATTAATTTTATTTTACCTTCACCATAGCTTCCTGGGACAAAGCTCGAATTGAAAGTGCTATGTTAGAAATATCATCACAGACGTGTGTAAGATTTCGACGGACAGAAAACCAACGAGAACCACAAGTGCTGATTCAAAGAAAGGGCTTGGGTTGCTGGTCCAATGTTGGCTACTTGGGTAGATCTGATCAGGCTCTTAATCTGGCCAGAGGTTGTATGTCTAGTGGAACCATACAGCATGAACTCCTTCACTCACTTGGCTTCTATCACGCACAAAATGATCCGCAACGGGATAGCTATGTAAAGATCCTTACAGAAAACATCAAGTCCGGTCATGAGCACAACTTCAAGAAACTCTGGGTCCATGGAATCACAGATTTTGGACTTGGCTACGACTACGACAGCATCATGCACTATGAGTCATTTGCTTTCTCAAAGAACGGAAAGCCTACCATTGTTCCTTTAAGGAAAGATGTGAAAATTGGCCAAGCAACACAAATGAGCCCAAAAGACGTGGAAACTCTTAAGCGGATGTACTGCTAATTCTAAAATCTTAATAGGCATAATAAAGGTTGGGTTTAGTAAAAAAAAAACTAGTTACAATGTCAACATATTGGAAGTTTTGTTTCTATTTTCTTACCTTCAAAAAACATGTCCCTTTACCAAAACGGGCTTGCTTTTTAGCCATATGAACTTTAGCGTGAAGGTAAAAAAGCCTTTCAAATTGTGTTAATTTTATATACACAGCCAGACTACATCCCCTCTCAAAGTAATCGCAGCATTTGCAATTCTAACGAGTTGTTGCACTTGACAGGAAACTAGAGTCTCCCTCACCGAAAAACCTCCTCAACAGACCGGTTAATCTGCAAAACAAAAAGCCCCGGCCAGCGTAGAGGAAGTGTTTGCCTTTGCCGGCAACTAAAAATTGAATATTTAGTGGTCGTAATTAAAAATTAGCGCGCCAGGCAACTAACCATGCCACCGAGCAGCCCGCACCGAGAGCCAACCGGTTGAGTCCTTCCGTATAATCCCAGGACCAACTATCTGCGTAGAACGTCCTCGGCTCTCTATCTCTCTCACACAAGGGCTCGAATATACATATATTTGGTTTTTTAATGGCACAAATTGTACTAAAGCCAAAGCTTCTCCAGAGCTACCTGCCCACAAAACGGAAGTCGTAAACATTTAATTTATGCAAGCAGTGCATTCGCTTTTTTAGTTGCAACTAAAGATGGGCTAACGTCATCCAGTACGAAATAGCTGGTTCAGCTCTTGTGTTCCTCCCGGTTTTATCAGCTTTCTAAGTGGGTTGCTTTAGTGACAAGGCTTTTAATATGTATACTTACCTCAGGAGATAATTTTATGTGTGTGTTTAAATTTAAGAAGACTGTGGACTTAGCAACCACGTTAAATAATTAGAAGTTTAATGATTGAGCTCCAAGAATGGAAAGTGCTTAATCTTAAATATATATTATACTACCTAAAGTTCCGTGCCTATAATCTTGTTAAATCAAAACTTTCCACTGCCCTCTAAGCCACAACTCAATTAAATCAGTTTTTTATAAAATTTCATCTTGGTACAGCTTCCCAATGCGATTATCACGCTCTCAAGTCATAATGTCTTGAGAATTTCCTGCTTTTTATTTTGAGAAAATATTGCTGGCATAATAAAGAGAATTTAATGGGTTAAGGCGGCCACTAGGACGCCTGGCCATCAACTTTTCGCCAAGAGCAGTAAAAAAGTCAGCTGGCTGGAGGAGCAGCGCTTTCTTTCGCTTTCTCTTCCCGGGCTCTTTGTGTTGTGTTTGGCCCCTCGCTCTTCTTCTTATGATCGTTCTAATTTTATGACATTCTATTTTCATGCATAGCAAAAGAGACGCATGTGTGGGTGAATGTGGGTGGTACAGTGGGCGGACGAGTGCAGCCATAGCCATTTCATAGTCAGACATGAATGCTGCGCTTTGTTGCCCTGCTACGCCTTTGTTTGTATTGCCCTCAGGGGTAAAGTTTTTAGGATAATAACTTCCTGCGACTTTACGAGCCAAGGCAAAAGCCAAAAACCCACCAGCAGCAGCGGCAACTAAAGGGAAATGAGAATACTTAAGCAGAGTACACTGCAATTAAGATTACCGGCTTTTAATGAGAGCCATTTGACCAACATTCAGCTAAAGAATCTTTTGTCCCTCTGAGATATTTCCTTCTAGGTAAATGTAATTTTATTAAACATTAATATAATTAATATTATAAAGTTACCTATTAAAATATAATACCTAATACCTAATATTATATTAACACGTATATTAAGCTAGTTTCTAAATTAGAAATATAGCAAGGCATATCACGATTTTCTTGCAGTGTGTCAGAGGAACTGCATATGAACAGCGTGGCGAAGGCAAGCCCTGAAAATATCTCAAGACCTCCACTTAAAGCAGCCAGCGAGTAAAAGCAAAAGCAAATGCCAACACATCAGCGGTGCCAAGGGGAGATGAGCTGGCAGACCGCAGAAACTTTTGACGCTGTCGACAGGCAAAAAACCTAAGAGATACTCCTGCTAAGCTAGCTGGAATTCCAAGCTAAATCTGAATACTTAAAATAAAGTATGGAAATATAAAGTATGAACTTTAAAATAACTTTAAAAATATGTCCTATTACAAAATAAGTATTGCTTGTTTTTAAATCGTAAATTATTAAAAATAAAAACATATTAACAAGCATAATATTATAACTTAACATTTTTAGAAAGATCTTTTTCATTGGCTGGCAACACTGCTGAGAAATAAGGCGGAATAAAAAGGAGGGTGATGAGGAACGGAGGGCTGCGGTGGCATATTAAAGACAGACAGCTGTAGTAGGAGCACCGTCGTGGCTGTGGGCATAATCTCAGACATAATTACACACACAACTCACAGGACCTGGGCAAAGGAATGCGAATGCCAGGACTCGGAACCTGATTCTGGCTCTGGGCCGGAGACTGACAAATGCAGTCACACATGAATGGGCTTTCTTCAGGACCTTTTCTAGGTTATTTTTAGTTTTAACGTGACCAGGGGAAAGTTGACTTAAAGGTGAAAATACCATGCTGCCACCTATTTTCTCAGGACGACATTTCTCAACAGGGCAAACTTTTAAAGTGCATTTAAAATTAATTAAGCATACGACGTGTTGCCAGTTGAGAAAGTATTGCATGACAGGTACTGAAATAAAAGAGAATCCTTGCTGCTTTATCTTGCAATTAACAAGTTCCTTCCTTTTTCGCTGTAATTGATTTAAGGTCTTCGAATCAAAGTTGAACCCCTGCAAAAGTAGTAAAATCCCTTTCTTACTTTATTCGCATGCTGTTGCTTCATGCGCGGGGCTTGAAAAGTTTAGACACAATATCGCTAATGATAATTACAAGCTAAAAACTTTTCCTGCATTTACTTTGGCCCCTCTGTACATTTGTGCATTTGCCTTTGGCTTCACTTGGCAACACAAGCATAAATATAAAATTTTCAGTGGTTAGCACAAAAGTTCACCAAAGCCAGTGGGAACGATAAGGGATTGTGAGTGCATAACTGGGATATTCTAACCCCCCAAATACTCGTTTCTCCCAGACTGTCGGTTCTAATTAAGCGCTATTATTGCAAGTTTCAGTCAGTGCATATTAAGATATCTGACGTCCTGTATTTTGCAACTAAGAACCGGGTAGAATCTATGCGAAAAATTTCATTCTCTAAATTTTATTATTTCCAACAAGAAATATTTCCATTTAGAATCTAAACTTACTTACAAAAAAAAACTGAGATATTTTCTATAATTAAAATAACAGAATAAAAATTAACACAAATGTTGAATTATTTCAATAATTTTTAGGAGGCCTCCCTTTGTTACTTAAGGCCATTATATTGTACAGAGGCCATTAAAACCCCTTTTCTCACCCAATGGTCAGGGTAAATAAAACTCATTAGTCGTCAACCGAGGCATTGCAAACAGTTCAGTTAAAGGGCCGGCACACAAGCCAAGTCGAACAACATGGCGCTAATGAAGTACAAATTGGCTAATGGGGCGGGTCGAAGACAGAAATCGAGGGCCATGGAGACGTCGACAGGGTCTAATTATCAATGAGCGCGACGCCTGTCGAAGTTCGACTTCCTCTTATGAGGGAGTTATGGGCGGAAGATAGAGACAGCCTAATCTCGGTAAGAGCAGAGCGACCGAGATGCATGGGCTTTTTATGTGAAAACTTTCGTGCATTTTCATGGCGAAACTTTAATGGATTAATTTACCAAAATGTTCGTGCCAGAGGAAATTGAAACATAGTGGGTGGAAGAGCAGGGCAGCGGGTGCCAGAGTCTACTACTCGAAGTTCAAGATTTATGGCTTACGCCAGAGACGCCATCCAAACCCAGGCTTAATGGCCGCTGATCATTTCCAGAGATGGCAAAACATGAAAAGCTGAAAATTTATATATTTTTTTCAGACTCTTTGCGTTCGGTATGCTTGCGATATTCTAATTTCATTACCCACCAGCAGTGGCAAAAGTTTTATTAACTTTTTGCAAGTTTTTGCTGCACAGAAATCATGAATATTTTATTGCATATTTTCAGGCTCACACTCACACACACATTCTGCCACATGCACGCACTTTCTCACACACAAACACACACAGACATGAAAAAGAGCAAAAGAAGCGAAAGTCAATGATGCGTGTGAGCCAGCGCCTTTTATCAATTTAATTTAATTAAAATTAATTCACCAATAATTGACTTTTAATATGCAATCATTTGTATCAGCGGACTAGAGTCGCAGAAGGAGGCATCAGTGTGGCATTAAAAAAATGTGAATTATTTAATTGCTCATTTGTCGACGCTGCATCGAGGTGAGAAATGTGAAATATGAGAAGGACGCCTGCAGAATCTGTGAAAGAGCTGATAATGGATTGATTTCGAACTCGCTTTTTACTTACTTTTAAACCAGCCTGCAGACTAACGCGAAAATAGTTCAGCCCAGTCACATAAAAGGGTTTGCTGTTCATTTCAATGGCCAAATTAACGAGCTTCAGTAATCGCAGGTTTTCCTGGGGATCCGTTGAGTACTGTAGAATTTGCTCCCAGTGGGTTAGGTAGTACATCGAGCTAAGAGAATCCGTCTGTGTGGTAATAAAAAATAATGTAAGCTTAAATAATATATAGCTTTACTTACTGTAAATGCCAAATTAGAACCAAGCTGTCCGAGGGAAAGTATCTCCACGGTTTTGGCTCCGAACCAAATAGCATAAATATAATTTGCCATGGGATTCTGTTGGATAAGTATTTAAATTTTTTTTTAAAACCGATATAGCACTTAGAAAAGGACTTTTAGTTTTTATTGAATGCTCACCGTATAAGCCTTAAATGAAAGAGCGCATAAAAGACCGGCAGCAAAGGCGAACATAATGAAAACACGTACAGTATACTGAGCCTCCATTTTCTGACCAAACTGATTAAGAGCCACATTTTTTCGAAGAGTTTTAATAATTAGTTGCTTTAATTGGCTAGCCATATAGGGACGATCCCTAGCAGCCACAATTTTTTCAATTGCCAACTCCAAGTCCCGTTTAAGCAACAGATAGTTACCATTTAAATGGACAATTAATTCACACAACAAACTAGTCTCCCCAAACATCATGGAATCAATGATTATGCCAACCCATACGTTACTCAAGAGCAGAGGTACAAATAAATACAAGGGGTCCGAGTCAAATGGAAAGACCATAGAGTATAAAAAGTCCTTACTTTGGTTAATAATCGAAAATACGGGGGCGATTAGATAGCCGGAGATAACTGCTCCATACATTGCGGAAACACATCTATTTAGTAGCATTTGACCATCAACTTTTTTAAACATTTCCGGTTCTTTTCGCGGATCTATGTATATGTTGGCGTAAAATTTCTGAAGAAACTTCTGAAGTTTCTCGATGTGCAGTAGAATGTGAAGACTCCGGAATTGAGCTTCCACAAGGATCAAATAGGTTGGCATGCCAGTAAGAAAGGCATCCAGATTTCGATTAGCAGCCTCATAGCGCAAATATCTTGATTCCGCATCATTGTGCTGCATAAAAATCAAACATCCCATAACCGCCATAACTTTGTCCAGATATCTGGCCCACTTTCCAGTACTAGGATCCAGAGGCCAGAATATATGATTTAATCGAAAAACAGCCAAGGGCCAGGCCAACTTCACCTTCTGACCGTCAGCAAAACGGGGCACGTAACGAACCATATTAAAGCAAAGACTGTTGAATAATGTCTACTCTCATCCGACTTATATATGCACCAGGGATTAGCCGGGAGCACAGACGATGACAGTTTCTCAACTTTTAAATGAGCTCTCCCATGCGTGCAATGGCTCAATTAAGTTATTATCCTCCAGTTCCAAGCCAAACGAAAGCATTTGAAAGTTTCACATTAATATTGCCTCATTTACGATGTAATGGGCTTGTCCTCAAATAATTGAGACAACTTTTTCAGGACTACGACAGGGGAATCGGCCTTTACTAGGGGTTATTAAACGCAGGTAATGATGTAAACAAGGGCAAACAATGCATTTAAATATATGAAAGCATTTATAATATATGTACTTCCTAAAATTGGTAAACACGAATACGGGGGTTGCCATTTTTATGAAAGTTTAATTTCAAAGGTCTAAGGTAATTTAAACACTTTTACCGTAAAAAATGTAAAGGCAAAAATCTAACAATAATGAACAAAGTTTTGAGTTGTAACATGGTAACAAATTATTTTATTTACCCAATTCTTTTTTACATATTCAAGAACAACAAAAAACTAGTCTTTATTTTCCTTTGTGAACACATTTTATTATTACGAATCAAATTTTATTTATTAACCGTTCTTTAATTAGCATAAAACATTGATTAAAAGTGATAGCTTTTATTATTTGAATAGGCACTGTTGACTTTATGATTTAAATTGAAATAAAAAACTATCAGAATACATAACCGTATAAATTACTGACATTGCGTAAATATCTGTCATTGAAAACATTGTTAATGTGTGACATATTTTTGCACTTTCTGTAAAGCCAACATTTTCGCAGTCATGAACTCCCATCTGGTATCTGGGGCATGAAAAAACCCACTTAACAAATTCATAAAAATCAATTAATTCAAACGCGCAACTTTCGCACGCTTTCCCAGCTTTTCCAGATTACTCCCAGCGATGCCATTTGTCCCGGTCCGCCTGCATCCGCTGCGGTCTGCACTGGAGATAGTGGCAACAGTTTGTGTTATGAATATTTTAAGAGGCAGCCTGTCTGTCTCTCCCTTGTCTAACCGAATAGAAAAACGACAATAAGGCAGCAGGGCCACAATACCGGGGCGAGGACGAAACATAAAGGACACCGAGCGTCGAGGATCCGTAAGCCCGGCGTAGAAACTGCAGTTTGCTCGCCACATTCATCTTAATTTCCTGTCACGACAATGACAACGAGGTTCGTTGGCTTGGTAGTTCAGTGGGCTGCTTTCGTGGGCAGTGGTTGAGCTAGTCCACTCCGTCCGGGAAAATCCTGGCCATCCAGCCAAGTGTGCGTCTAGCCAAGCGGCTGACCGAAGCCCAGAAAACAACAAGAGCCACACATTTCACTGCCATTTTGTATGCACTTTGCCTGCAAGGATACAATGTATTGTTTATGAGGTTTGGCCGGCCTGCTGACTTGAAGTCAAAGTTTTCGTATCACCTTAGCTGAGAGTCATGCATCATAAAAGGCATCATGGGAATTTATCTTATAAATTTAAATTAGTAGCTGCCATTGTCTGAAAGTTCTCCTGGTAGAAGGTCAAGACTGTCAAAGACATGAAATGTTTTATATATAAAACTTAAATTAAAGAAAAAATTTAATGGAAAATGTAATTCTATTAATACTTATATTTTTAAGCTTACATAAATATTTTGGTTTTGATAGAACGATTTGTAGAGCCACATAAATTCGGCTTTCTAAAGTCCTTCCTTTTGTCTTTCTCCCTCCCTATGTTCCGCTCATTTTTTTCGTGCTGAGCGCTTTTTAAGCCTTTGTAGCGGCTGTTGCTGTTGCTTTGGCTTTAGCCTTGGCATCTGTATCTGTATCTGTAGCCGTGCCTGAAACTGTGCCGGCTTTGTAGCCCATAGATGGAATTGCTGGGCATCCTGGCGAATCCTTGTAGTTGTTGTGCCGTGGCAGTGGCAATGCCAAATGCCGTCAAAAAGCAAAGGGCCAGAAGCGTTTCGGCCGGGTGTTTCACATAAACATGGGTGGTGCCTCTCGCACCCCGGACACGCCCCCATAGCCATATCCTATACCTCGTCCTTTGTCCGCCGTTTTTCCCTTGGCCACCCAACTCTTTTGCTCGATGTTATCGCGTGCCACAGGATATTGCACTCTAAGCCAGTAGATGGCGTCATGTAAAGCTGGACAACATCCGATTAAAACTTTACGATGTGCGTGTGTCCGCCAGTTTTACCCGTACACCCCCTCGTATATCTCCGCCCCCGGTTTTTGTGTCTCTGCCTGCGAATGGAGAGGGGCGTGGTCAGAAGGGGCGCGTAAGAGTTTGGGGCTACTCGTTGGTCAGCAAGTGGATAAATTCTCATTTACTGCTCTTTTAAGCATGCTGTTTTTGTCGCTTCTTCTTATCCTCGGCTAGCTAGTTATACTTGGTGCAAAATCAGTGGGGAATCTTAGACTTGGACTTGGTTGTACGTTGTGCAGATTATTTATACTATCACTCTATAGCACCTATAAGTATAAGATCTATATATTCTGTACTGTATACCAATCATGACTATTTAATTGATTGTTTAGTCAACTAGGTTAGTCAAGGTTATTATCTGTACTTAAAAAGTGACCCAAAATGAAATTAATTTGTAAACAGTTCCCTAACTAAAGTTGAACTTCAGCTTCAATCAATTCCAGGTCAATAGGTTATTTCCCCAAACAGCAGAGGTATCAATTAGTCCACCCACTGACGCCCAGTGTCCGCTGTCGTTCAGTTTCAGCGTGTAAATTGTCCACTCGTTATGCGGGAAACGGATGGGAAGGGTGGTTGGTGGTAGTGGCGGTTCTGCCACAAGGAACGGTGGAAAGGGGTGAAGAACGGAGGACGAAGGACGACTGAGTGGCATGGTAATAGCGCGGCATGTTAAACTGACCGCAAGCATTGTTTATCATTAAGTGCGGCCCATGGCCAGAAAGAGTGGGCCCAAGGATCGGGATTGGACCAGTTCCTGGGTCAGCATGTGTCACATGACATATGTGCAACTGGAATGTACTGAGTACTAGTGCTCCTCGTCCACGGCCTGGATACAACAATTTCTTTTTTTGTTTTGGCTTACCCTCTTTTTTAATGGCCAAACATGTGTATTGCGGACGCCTTGGGTTAATGGAGTCGTTTGTTAAGGCCGCTAAAAACCAAATGAAAAGCTCAACTTTAAGAGCTCCAACATTAAATAAAGGAAATAAAATAAACTGCAAAGTTTTTTTTAGCCATTTTCGGCTAGCAATTCGGCCCACCACCCTTTTGCAGCGAGTGCATGCAAAACTTTTGTAATTAGGAAGCAATGTCGGTCATTAGTGCGGGAACTGTTGGCCAGGGGCAGGATTGAGGAGGGACACGGGGCAAGGGAATGGCCACAAAAAGGCGTCAGCAGTCAAAACAACAATGCAAATGTGCAGCGGGGAAAAACTCTCGAGTTTCTCTTCCACATGGAAGAAGATGGAATGCGCTTCCAAATTCGGTGGAAAAATTTAGCAGCGAGATAATTACTAAATTTCAGAGGAACTAAAATAGTAGCGCTAACTATTTCGCAGGAAAATTTACACGATCAGTTCTATAGTAGTATTATTTATATACTGATTAATAATTCTATGCTTGGTTTAATATATATTATATCTCAAAATATAGTGTAAAACTTAAATCGTTTATCATATTTTTTAAATATTTATTTGAATCCCCTTAATTAGTTTAATTTATAGTAGATAGATAAGAGTATCCTATTATACAGAATCATAATTTAAATGGCTTAAACTTATCCAATGTGTCCTACTTCGGCTCGATGCCCTAATCCCAACGGAACTCCAAACGGCATTGAAACAAAGAAACGGAACCTCTGCAAACCTCCGCGACAATGGCCATGAAGATGCCCAACGAACGACCAGCGGTTCGGAGTGGATTCGTCCAGGAGTTGGCTGGCAGGCACAATTGGACGAGCATCGAGCGTAATTTTAATAAAGTTTGAATGCAAAACTTTCCGATTTGAAATGCGCATAAAAGTTAACTATTTCCGACGGTCCAGTCCGAGCTATATCTACAAAACTGAAAAACCCCGAGCGGCAAAAGCTGAGAATGTGTGGATAAAAGTTTCCATTTTTGCTGGCCATTGCAGTGATCATTCGATGGGTGGTTAGAGTCTAGTGGGCCAAAAAGGGTGGACATATCCAAATCCTGGCAAACAGCGGATGTGACGACTACCACCGGCCACGCCCACAGTCACTGACAGAAGGCGCCGTTGCAGTCGCAGTAGAAGTCTCAGTAGAAATCTCAGTCGTCTGGCCATGGCCATAAATTAAAGCCAACAAACCGAGTCCGGAAGCAAAGTGTGGAGATGTGAAAGCTATGGGAAAGCGGACAAGTGGATTTTCAGCCATTACATCTTGGCCATGGGAATGGGACTGAGCCTGGAACTGTGACCAAACGGAAGCGCAAGCTGGGCTGCTAAGAAGCCCCGAGCTTCTCCGGCTAACGATCAACTTGTCCAGTAAGAAAAGAATTTTGTCTTTATAAAAAAATGCATGACGATTCCCGAAAAATATACATATATATTTTCTTTTCGTAGCTACGTCCGGACATACATTTTCTGAGGTAAAAACTCAGCAACAACGGATGGAAGTGCTTTAGCACCCTTTAACTTGTGGGAATTCTGCCCATTTATTCTTATTTTACGGTCTATTATCGCTAATCAATCATAAGTAGTTTTTGAGGCCCCACATTTTGCGATAATTACCAATATATTAGCTGTTAATTCTCTTTAAATCAGTCGAAAATGATTTACGCTTGGATTCAGTTGTTCCTGCTAAGCAGTTTCTTCTGTGGGGTTTTCCCAGCTCCCTTTAGTACTCATTATGAGGAAACGGATCCAGAGCTGACTGCAGGGTACTTCCAAGGTGATATGGATGTGGACTTCACCCGGAATGGACACCTTTCTGAGACTCGTCGCTGGCCAAACGCCACAGTTCCGTACAGGATCTCTGAGGAGTTCGGTAAGTTAAGAAAAAAATAAAACTACTTCAATTAAACTAACAAAATAACTTTTTTATTGCTTTTTTTAGATGCTCCTTACGTGGAATACATTAAGATTGGCATGCAATTCATCGAGTATTACTCTTGTATTCGCTTTGTGCCAGCAACTGAAGACGAGGAAAACTATGTCTTTGTGCTTCCATCCACATCGGGATGTAGCTCCAACGTGGGCTACCAACCAGGTCAAAGAACCGTCAAACTAAAACCTGGACCTCTGGATTCTGGATGCTTCAAACTGGGAACGATCCAGCATGAGCTGCTTCATACCTTGGGCTTTCACCACCAGCAATGCTCTCCGGATAGAGATGAGTTCGTAAAGATTGTGGATGAAAACATCTCCGAGGGTCACGAAAAAAACTTTGTCAAGTACGAAGAAGACGTAGTTGGGGATTTCGATCAGCCCTATGACTATGGAAGCATTTTGCACTACAGTTCCTTGGCATTTTCCATCAACGGCGAGGCCACAATTGTCGCTCTGAAACCAGAGGGCCAGGATTTAATGGGTCAGCGTTTGAAGATGAGCGATACCGATATCAAACGATTCAATACAATGTACAAGTGTCCAATTCAATTGTAAAACTTTTTGATACCTCAAAGAAAGAGATTTGGTTTTCTGTAAAAGAACTCATAGAATTGTCCAAATTTAAACAATAAAATTCAAAGTCATTGACCTTTGCCCTAATCTTTGTTTATCTCTACCCCTATTATTAGAAATTAAAAGTACTTTAAAGAAACATCTAATCGATGTTTAAAGATTATTTAATACTGAACTGCCTTGACTGAAACATGGCATCTCTTACATCACTTGGGTTACAAGAAGATTATTTTTATTATTTTACTACGAGTAAAAGTGTGTTCAAGTCCTTATAGATAAGCAAATTATCGAACTAACTAATCAGAAATAAATTTCTCCTGCCTTTTTATGGCTCTGCATTTTCCAAACAATCGAAACCACAAAAACTCGCGCTCTTTCATCGCAACACAAACGTAGCCGCATCAGCTGATTAGATAATAACAAAGACGCTTATCTTATCTTCAGTGGAAGTGTAGAGCACTTTCCAGGCATATTACCAAATAAATGAGTTTCGTTCTTTATTAATGCATAATAATCCCAAGTAAACTGAGGTATACATCTACTGGAATGCAGGTCATTAGTTAGTCATAAAGTGAATGGAGAGACAAGTTTTCAACGTTTAGTCAGTCGAGAACAACCAAGCACTCCCAAACCAAGCAGCTCGAAAATGACGAATCATTAATTGAGGAACTTTCTTCCAGTCGATGAAAACAATATTTGTATTCAGCTTATGGCTCTGCAATGTGTCATAAAGCCCAAAATGTGGTTGGGTCTTAAGCAGATTTTGCTCTACGTGGGCCTACTGCTCTGTGTCGTTCTTCAGGTTTGCAGGAGTAAGACCCAGGTACAGATGTTTTGCCCCTCCGTTTGCCACTGTGATCTGCATGCCCAGCGAAATCGAGCGATATGCAGGTGAGTAACTATTGCATTGGCTTTCCTTTCATATTTTATTATATATATATTCTATTTGTGTAGCGCCAAGCGATTGATAAGCGCCAATATAGAAATGCCAAAAACTGTTGAGTTATTAGACCTGAGCTACAATGATATAACCACCATTGACGATGACTCCTTCAAGGTAAGTTATTAGCGTAACTTTTTTTTAATAATTTTTTTATAATAATTTATTAATTCTCAGGGTACCATCCACCTGCTAAACCTCACGTTGGCTCACAATGCCATCCACACCCTTTATGGGGATGCCTTTTCGGAATTGGCCAGACTTCGATACCTGGATCTTTCGTACAATCGCCTTGAGCAGATCGACGAACATATTCTAGAGTCTAATAATGAACTGATACACCTCAATCTGGAGGGCAATAAACTATCCACTCTTGGAAAAGGACCCATTTTAAGAAGTCCATCGCTTCGCTCTCTTAATCTGCGCAATTCACAGGTAAATCAGCTGGGAAACCAACTACTTAGTGCTCTGCCCCAACTGCGCCAGTTGGATTTGGCACAGAATTTACTGGTGACCCTAAGTCCGGGTGATTTCCACGCTCCGCGATATTTGGCGTCCCTGAATGTGGAGGAAAATCCTTTCAATTGCGATCGAGCCTTGACAAAAGTGACCACTGGATTACGACAGCGTGGAGTGGCCATTTTCATGAGTGACTGTGTGGAGGAGGAGGCTCAGGATCCAGAGGAGATAGTGGAAGCAATTGGTAATGGAATCTTTGGATCCATAAACGACCCCATTGAACGAATGGAGAGCGTGGAACCCAGCACCCAGGGACCCCAATCAGTACTGTCTGTCTGGCGAGAGTTGGACTCTAGCGAAGAGCAGGGCGGCGAGGACGACCAGATGTCATCCCTCAGCGATGTGTGCGAAGGAAGTCGGGAAAAACTTTGCCTGCGATACCGCACTTGCTTAGAGCGCATAAGTCATGAGCTCCTAGCTGGAGGAAACTCGCAGCTGGACGATGAAATCATACGGACTCACTCCTACGACGAGGATGACCTCAAGCTGGCCTTTGTCGTGGGCGGAGCCACAGGCGTCTGCATGGTCATCTTCATCATCACCTTTGCCTTGTGCCTCAAGAGTTGTTGTGAGATGCGCAAAAAGAAAACCAACCCCGAGGTAGTCGATAGTGATTCAGGTAGGTCAGCTCATTTCGAGTACAATCCAGTATTTTAAAGAGTTTCTTTTTTGTTCTTCTCCACCAGCTCCTTTGGATCCATCCCAGGAAAGCCTGCCCACTATCCACACCTGGGCACCACAGCGTACTCGCAATCCCAGACGCTCCAATCCTCAGCGTCCACGCAGCACTACTTCGCGTGCCGTGGTCCGCCAGCCTTACGGACCGCAAGACAATTTCGTGTCCCGACTTTTTGGTCGTCCGGCCCGCAGTCAGTACTACCGGACCATCAATCAGAACACAGCCACCCTCATCCGTCGCCTTAGTCGCAGTAACCTCTTTACCAGTCGAGATCGGGAGCCGAGTTCTCCCACCACGCCGCCAACTCCTACAGCCAGATTTTATACGGATGTAGTCGAAAGTGGTGCGGCACGACCGGAAACACCGCCTCCCAACTATGGTGATGTGGTGGTCATCGAGAATTGTGATAACAAGTGAAGGAATTTGATTCGTTTTAGATAATAAATATTCTTAGATATCACTTTTCTCGTCATTAACTCATTTATTATATAAAATCTTTGTTAAGATAATCACAATATATATTAATCAATTAAAAGCCGGGCTATCCATTCTAGCCAACTATAATCAATTATTTTATGACCGAAAAACTTAAATTCACTTACTTCAATACTTTCCTTTAAAAATAGTTTTTAAGTATAACAACCTACCATTTACCACTTCCAGTAGACCATGTTTTCTACTTAGCCTCCGAAGGTCTTTTAGTGAGCCCACAACATGGTGTTCAAAGTATCCTTGAAAACTTCAATGTTTCTCATCGTGCACACAAAAATATCAATTGGGGAATTCCAACATTTTTGCTTCCTTTTATTTGGATGAGCATTACTTTTACAAGACTTGGACTTGCAGCTGCAACAAATCGCAATAAAAACTTTTGACAAAACTATCAAAGTTGGCATGGTATAGGGCGATATAGGGATGAAGCAGAAGCAGGCGCCGGAGCAGGGCCAACTGTGAAATTGCCACAGGAAAATCCCCGAAAAATTCAAGTAGCAAAAGTTTACACACTCAAATAAATGCTGAAACGCGGAAGAAGATGGGTGGTCCTTTTAGGCCCTCTCTCCCCAATCCTCTACGGCAGACAAATCGAAAACACCACAAAGGAAAATAAAAACCGCACAAAAAATGCCATAAGAAAAAAAACTAAAAAAAAAGCACGGCAAACCCAACAATTTGCACTGCAAAGCGGCAAAAGTGTCTCCAAAGAAACAACCACCAAAACCCGACCAGATACGGAAAAAGAATAAATATATATATAGGGAAAGAAAGCAGGTCCAAGTTATGTTGCAACGCAAAAAAAGAAAGCACATTTTTTTATCAAAAGCTGTATGTGGCCATGCACTGAGCAAAAGGGTTCAAGTTTGGGTATTAAATAAATTTACTTAAAGATAAAGAAAGTAATTTTACTTACATTTTAGAATCACATTATTATTATATTCCAAGAATTGTTAAGATTTATTTTAAAAGAAGTTTATTTCAAATATTACAAACCCTTAAACACAACTAATATGCATTTCATAAAATGCATTGCCTTTTATTTCAGTTTATTAATATTTGTCTTTAAAACCTTTGATCTATTTTTATATTTAAAAAATTTGTTTTTTAATCATTTCACTGCATTTACTTGAGTTTAAGCACCACTCAAGGTCCGTTAATTCATCCTTAATTTACCAGCTCTCTTGTAAAGCAAATTTGCTGTGTGGATTCTTATGGGTTCTGTTGTTAAGTGTTTGTCTAGCTGTCTATCTATCTATCCAAACGTATCTGTGTTTTGTGGTGCCAACTTTCATTGCACTGAGCTTGGCGCTGCGGCGCACAAAAGTTAACGTATCCTGGGACCAAAGTTGCGTTGTCAACAACCAAAATGCAGCAAAAAAATCGGATCTGGGAAAAAGAACTGTGGGGAAATGGTGAAAACGAGTCGAGGAAGCTTGGCGAAAAAATGTTCTCACCAGGAGGGCAGAGGAAACACAGTTGCAAAGCGTGAAAAAATATCTAAATCCAACATTAATGAAAAACTTTTTGCATAATCCACGATGAAGATGGCGGCAAAGGCAGCAAACCGAAATCAAACCCTCTGCCTCCCCAAAGGAGATGCAACCAACCGGTGTAGGAACTCCCCATCGAGCGTATAAAATGCAATAGAAGAGCGTCAGGATAACAAAGCAACAGATTCCACTGGGAGGAGAAAGCAGAATGGGATTTTTGAGGCATTGAAGGACACGCCAAGCGGCTTAAAAGGTGCTGAAGGTTACCTCTAAGAAAGAAGTAAGTGATGAGATGACTAAGATATCGGGGTGGGGGTGGCAAAAGTTGTACTAAATCTAAGACATGGATTGAAAAACTGTGGCGTTCGATTTGAAAAGGAATTGGTGTAAGGAAAACTGATTGGAAAATGGTTGAGAATGGCTCAAAAGGGTGGATTGTCCTTTGACAGTGAACCTGTACGCCCCGATGGGACATACTGCAAAGCATTTCATTCATTTTCACTTCATGGGGGTGCATTCAATACTTATTTTATTTTTGTCGTATACTAAAATAACAGACTTAATTGTTATTAAATTTTATAATTTCAAGGCAATTTCCGTTATATTTCAGAGTCTCCCTGGCAAATGAAAGGCAGTTTTTTATTACAATCTACACTGAACATTCCAAATCTTGATAACGTAACGCAGTGACGGTTTTCAGCTTTATTTTGATTCCAAAACCATTTTAAAAACTGTGCTGGCTTTCCGGATGCAATCGACACCAACTTCCCCTCTTTTACCCGGTCGTTGATGCCCAACCAGAAGCTTTCATCGATTTTTCCTATGATAGCGTTATACTCTTCTTGATCTTTTATAGACGCAAGGTGGCCTCCCTTTTTCTGGCAATAGGTTTCAGCAGAAACCCAATCTTTCAAATTTTTTGTTTCGATATAGAAAAATCTTGTACCGATCTTTTTGAAACCAGGTAGAATGAAATTATTATTTATTCCAGAAGGGGTTTTCTTTTGTGTTTTTAGTTGGTTTTCCATTTCGGTCAGCATCGCTCCCAACTGACCTTCATTCCTCTCCGACACCTTCTTGATCAAGGATTCCTCAATAGATACGTTTAGAGCTGTGATCGTATCCTGAAGGACCTTTATTTGACCTTCTATTCTGTTTAGAGTACCAGCGAGAGTGTCCAACTTTTGTCGGTGCTGCTTATTATGATCAAATAGTGGAAACATTGCCGAAAGACAAAATGCACCACACTGATTGGGGGCATCTTGTAATACACACAGAAAACTATTATCCTGCGATTTGGTATTGCCATGCAAAAGGCCCACGAAAAATGTGATCAAAAAGTACTTTCCGAACATCAACATTTTGAAGCGAATGATCGAAACGAACTGAATTCCATTTCCAATATTTTCAGTAGACAGGCCTTTGGAACATTCTTGTTTATATTATGCGAAAAAAAAGCGATATGAAATGTTGTCCTTTTATAATCCCAAATCGACAATGGCCCTCTTTGTTTGATCGAATAAGTAGACTTATATAGAAGGGTGTGGCGCCTGTAAGTGGGTTATCTTTTATTTATTCAGTTGTTCACATCAAAGCTTTGATAACTTCCTAGTGAAACTTATATTTAGGATTATAAAAAGGTATTTTTATTTTTTGAATGTATTTAATAAATCCCTAATCTATACATCTCTATTTCATAAGTTTCAGTTACCAGTGATTTGTTTGTGGAGTGTTAAACGCTACATGGCCAATTGCCAGCACTTTGCCCGCTGCAGAGTAAATAAATTAAATTCTTATTTGCTGGCATTCGAAGGGGCGTCTGTAGCCTCTGGGTTTCGGTGTAAAACTTTCAGGAGGTGCCGGACATGGTCGCCGTGTCGCCTGTGACTTTCTACCAGCCCTCTGCCGACTACTGGTCGTGTGTTGCAATAACAAACTCATGCTAATTGCTTTGCTAACAACTCGCAGGAACAGGAACGGCAACGGCAGCAACTTGGAGTTGCACTGACAATAAGAGGGCAGAAAGCGCAGCTAGGACAATAAATTTCGGCAGGAACTGGCAAGGTGCTGGCTAAAAGACCGGGCTACCTTTAATTACGGTTTCGCAGGACATCAGACCACACTTTCGCACACTCACACAAGCTGCTAACTAGTTGCACATGGCACAGATACACTCATGACACGATTGACCTCTTGCCTTCGGGATGTTGCAGGTGCCACATCCTCAACGCTGCCAGCCAATGTCCTTAGCACTGGGGAAAATAACAACAATTTTCAAAGGATATTAATTTCACCCCATAACAATACCAGGTTAATGAACATGATGTCATTAAGGATTGTTAGAAATTGTGTTCTCTTTTATTTTTAAGAACAGGTTTTTACAAAATATTTAGATTGTCTCATACCTAGCAAATTTGTTTGTGTTAAACAGCGAGATAAAATAAATTTCTCCCTGTGTTTCTCTCATTTCTCCTTTGGTTTATAGAATTTGCACACGAACTTGCGATAATTGCTGGGAAATGAAATAAAAATGCAATTAAAGCCGGCGACACTGCAGAGCTGAAGAGCTGAAGCTGGTTCCCGCTTGTTGAAATGAGCATTCAATTAAGCGGCAGCCAACGAGCTGCGAGAGCGTGTCCTGGAATGGGAGTGTCCTGTTTTGGGTGTCCGTCCCCCTGCCCGTCTATCCGTCTGTCAGGGGCATGCACACTTGATGGCGACATCGTCGTGGGCGTATACAAAATGATTTTTATCTTTATCAAATTAGAAAACGACAACAGCAAGCGGGCCCAGCCGATCCGGATCCCAATCCCAGTCCCAGTCCCATTCCCAATCCCGATCCCGATGCCTTCGCCACTGCTCGGTATCCCTTATCCAGTCAGCCGTGTCTTGGTCGTGTCATAGCAATTAAAACTCTGCCATGCCATTGTGTAGATTACATCGCCGGCGAGTCGGGGGCGTTCCTGGTCAATGGGCAGATGTTAAATGCTTTGAAGTTTATTTCTAGATTTGCACGACTGCCCTCTGTGGATCTGTGAATGTATATGAATGGAACTGTACTTCTAAAAGTGGGCGGATACCACATCTAGAAAACAGTTACTATTAGCAAATTAGGATTATTCTCGGTACGGGGTGCTAAGTATAAACCTTATTCCATTGGGATTAGATTTTGTTACATATTTTAAGTTCTTAATTAAATACTTTAATTTTCATAAAGTATTCCAAAGATCACTTTAATCTGGATAACGTTTTTTATTTGCTCAACTCAAAATGAAATCATTTAACCAACAATTGCTGCCACTTTTTCCATTACCGTTCATACAATTTGAAAATTTATCCCTGGCGACAGTTAATTTTTAATTTACACACAAGGGCACAAAGCCCAGTTCATTGCCTCATTCGCTTTCTTAATGCCGTTTGGCGACTGTTTTCAATTTACATGAACAGGGCACAAAAGGACATACTCGCAGAGGAAGCAGGGATGAAGGACTTTCGGCCGTTGGCGGCATTTTATACAGGTGACAGGTGGGTGGTGAATGGAAGGTGGGGTGAAACACCCCTCAAATGCGCCCCTGGGGACACTCGTGTTTTTTCGCTTTTGCTACAACTTTTTCACCACTCTGCTAAACTTCCACTAAACATTTGCCTTCAATTTTGTGCTTCTATTTTTTTTCTCTCCCATGAACTTGTTTGGCAGTTGGCTGTCGTTTCTGTTGCTTTTTCTGCGGCTGTCTCTGCCATAGTCGATGTACTAAACATTTTTTAATGGCTTGTTTTGTGGCCCCAAAGTTGTTGACTGGTTGACTGGCCAGCAACCTTTTAATGAGTTTGTTTCCTTCCAGAATGCTGAACAGTGTGGGGGCTGTCTTTTATTATTCATGGCTTCATCAATATTTTTCCAGCAAATCATAAAAACTTCACGCAGCAAGGGTTACTGATACACACGAAGAAATTTAAAATAATTATCGTATTTTACAAATAATAGATGAATATGCAGCTACCAATATATAAATAGCTCTTTTTTTTAAGTGTAAAATGAATCGCAAGGAAGTTTAGCTTTTTTCCGCATTAACCTCTGAGTGCAACCCGGCTCATTAGCTGCCATTTTACAGCATTCCACAATTTTGTTTGCTCAATTTCATAAGCAATTGTGCATTGCATTGCCTTGCACTGCGCCTAAATGTATGCAGCACACACAAGAGATGCTAATGTATGCCACACGCACACATGCTCACCCACATGCTCTCGCATATTTCTGATTTTCAAAATGGACGTAAACGAAGTTGCCGCTCACAAAAGCACGCTGCACAAAGGCCCGCAAAGTTGCTTCTGTGCTCGGTTTAGCATTTTTCCTTTACTTTCCTTGGGCTTGTGGATATGTGGAGAAAGTTTTCCAAGCTCTACGATTTTTTTGTCTTTCTTTTTTCCGAACGAAAAGGAACACGAATGTAGATTGCCAAATGAAAGTCAAGTTGGTATCGAAAAGACTCCAATTCCAAATTCTATTTTCAATAAAGTTAAAGACTTTTCGATTATTTCCTGAAAATTTTATAAGAACACAATAAAAGTACTTATTATTTATTTAAATCATTGTGTCAAAAAGATTTTGAGTTATAAACGAATATAACAACTTTCACTCAAAAATACTAAAATCATTTCCTAAAATATATTGTAAAATATCCATGCCATTTTCCTGGCCATACATTTAAAATTATAATCATTGCCTAAGTTTGAGGCAGAGTTGAAGTCGAACACGCCTGATTTACAGTAGAGTTGGCAAAGAGGTTTGGTTTGGTGGAAATGGAAAAGTGGAAAGCTGCTGCTTTTGCTGAAATGTGTGAGAAGTTTCTGAAGTAGTTCCTGGTTTGTTTGCCATGCATCATAAATCCATTTTGTGACCGCAAGCCCTGCAGCCGCAGTAAAGCTCTTTGGGCCGGGTCAAGTGGACAAAGTGGTCAAGTGGCTGATTAGCCTTTAATTTGAGGCCCTTTGTTAATTAAGATCCGGTGATCCCGCCGGGTCATTGGAGATGGATATAGCTGCCAATTGCCCACTAAAAGCCCTTGTTCCCTGTTCAGGGACAAAAGTAATTATACGGCCAGAGGGTTGGCCGATGTCCATTCAATTTTCGCCCTCATTTCGAGGCGGGAGGCGTGGCAGTTGTGTGCTAATTTCCGGTGCTCATATTTGGCAGACAGTCACGCCCACTTACACAGCGACAGCAGAAGCAGCAGCAACAAATTGCACCACATCCTGCGACGATGTGGATGACGTTGGTCAATGTTAATGATGACCATGACGATGCGATGACCAGACGACGAGCCATGAGCAATTCAATTGCAGTCTCCACGGTGCAAAAATACAAACAACAATAAACCAAGGGAAACAACAGCCAGTGGCTGACAGCCTTGTAACTGTCAGGCATAACATACTAAATCTATTATCCCCTCAAAGAGGGGGCAACCCTCGATTCGTTATACGAACTTACCAAACGCATGCACTTTTGTTTCCCTTTCAATGTTTACTAACAAAAATACCCTGGGGGCTCTAAAGGAATTTAGGGAAGGTTTAAAATACACAATAAAATATGCTATAAAATATATAGAAACAATAGCTTAACATTTTATTTAATTTAATGGATTTAAAGATATTTTTCATTCTAATTAAAAAGATAATAAAATTTTGTATATTAGTTAACATGAAGAGAAGAAAATAAATAAACATTAAATCTACTTATAAAGTTCAAGAACCTAATACATATTTGTTAAGAACCTCTAGAAATCGTTCAATTGTTGTCTGAGATCCACAACTTTCCCGCCTCATGTGTCACGAGTAACCCGAATGCCCAAGAGTCGTTGCAAAAACAGCCATCAAATGGTCATTCAATGCGCTGCATTGGCCTCCTCCCTCGTTCTTTATCCTGGTCGGGCGATGTTGTCTGCTGGCCACCGCCTGCTGTCCAGTCAACCGGCGAGTGTCCTGAAACCCCCCACTCCCCCTCGTAAGTGTTTGCAGCAATCAGTTATGACCCTTTTGTAACAGCAGCAGCAGTTGCAGGAGCAACAACCATGCACATTTCTGGCATCCTTGGCAACTTGCTTGCCCACTTCCTGTGGCGATTGTCAACAGAGAACGTTGGTTATGCATTTTTTTTGTTCATTTTTTTTGTTGTCGGTTTTATTCTCGGGGGCATGACGTTGGCAGCCTCTATAAATCTGCACAAATTGGCAGCCCTGTGGCTGCATTAAAAAATATTTTATAAAAGAGCAAAAGTAAATAAATACAGCGCGAAAAACGAAGGCCAGGCACATGTTGCCAGTCAGTTCTTTATGCGGTGTCCTTCTCTTTTTGTTATTTCCAGCATCT